TGTGTGTGTGTGTGTGTGTGTGTGTGCGTGCGCGCGTGTGCGCGTGAGCGTGTCTAGCTGTGTGTGTGTAAAAAGAAGGGGGAGGGGTAGGGATGGGATGTGGAGATAACGGGTTTAGGGTTGGGGGATGGGAGGGGGGAGATGAAGTAGAGAAAAGATGGCTAAGGCATAAATTAATAGATACAACGATAATTGAAATATTGTTCAATAACTCTCAATCCAACATGAGGGATCCCCATGGATACATGTTAATACCAAAGATCGCACATAACAAGATAGCTCACTCGCCAAAAAGTTGTTCTCAGAAGTCCGCGCATTGGTTCAGATGGCGCTGCAGTCTTTCTTTTGAAGCTCTCTTTCGTTTCTCCAGAAGAAGAATAGGAATAGCACAATTTGTTGGTTTCACTTTTATTGTTTTTCACACAAGAAGGGTAACTCTGTTCGGAAAGCGGGCACTTTTTCAAGGAAGACTCCCTCCGGATTTTGGGGACACTTTTTTAATTGGCTCAAAGAGAGGAGTGAACTATATTGTTATATTGTACGATCTTTGTTAACACTAATTTGACATGAATTTTATTAACTCTAATTTGACATGAATAATTATTTCTTTTGTGAAAAACCTTAGTTTCTTGCGGTAAACCTATGCGAGTGGGTGGTTTGCGGGTGGTCTGGTGTGGTTTGCTCCTTTTTTCCTATCAAACATCTATCGTCCTCATTTCTCCTCCTTTTTTGAAAAGTATGTTACTCTCTTGTGACAGACACATCTATTCGTCTCCTCACATATAGGACCTTATTACGCTATAAGCGCCGTAACACTCTTACTAAAACTAAACTAAACATATGCGCTACTTGCAGTTCGTAGTAATTGGGAGTAAAATCGACAAGCTGAAACAGGGCCTACAACCATTTGAAAGATAGATAGATAGATAGATAGATAGATAGATAGATAGATAGATAGATAGATAGATAGATAGATAGATAGATAGATAGATTGATAGATTGATAGATATATGGATAGATAGATAGATAGATAGATAGCTAGCTAGATAGATAGATAGATAGATAGATATATATATAGATAGATAGATAGATAGATAGATAGATAGATAGATAGATAGATAGGTAAGTTAAGATAAGATACATCTTTATTGTCCAGATCCAGGCACATTGGTTTTGTGTTTCACCACGTGTAAACACACACACAAACACACACACACGCACACGCACACACACACACACACACACACACACACACACACACACACACACACACACACACAAGCGCACGTGCACACACACACACGCACACACATGCACACACACACGTAGGCTTACAATCACATGCATAATAATATGCCAGGAACTAGATTATAGAGATGTCACACAAGAATCTTACTTGAGACAATAATCGGGAAAGTATCTCATTAAATATTTATTCCAACTAAGACTAAATGACAAAAACAAAGAAGCAGAGATGTCAATACTACAAGTCATACGTGACAATGACAATTATCATTTTTTATTTCAAAATTGGCTGTTTTTGAATTTGTCTAGATCTAGATCCAGCCTTTCGCGACCAGGAGCCGGTGTCATAATCGAGGTCACGATCTGATTATAGGGCGATAAAAAGTAACGGAAAAAACAAACAAACAAGCATCGACAGCAGTCATAAGATTATTAGGAGTTAGATCTAGTTCCCCTTACCTTTGTAGGTAGACTCGACCAGTCTAATAATAGTTACCTTACATTATCAGTGCTTGTGGCTGCTTATGAAAGTGGCTCGAAAGGGGTGGACAGGGTATTTATTATGTGGAAATGAAACAGATTTGAAGGTTGTGCGCATGTTCCCGTCAACTCTTTTGTAGGCTCTTCAAGCCTCACTTTAAGCTTACATAATCAAAGCTTGTGACTGCTTATGGAGTGGCCCGAAAGGGGTCAACAGGGTGTTTCCGTGGCAATGAAACAGTTTTGGATGTTAAGCATAGGCGACTGCTCATTGGTGATTGTGAACGTCTTATCACATTTAATTTATGAGGTCTGGGTGAAATTGACTGTGACGATGTTCCAAAATTAGGAAGGGAAGCAGTGGTTATTTGATGATGTGGACCGTTCGCCACTGATGCGAGACTACACGAGTCAGGCTAGTAAGGGCTGGGCTAAGTTAACGGTTGCGTTACCAATTACCAATCAGCGTCATGTATAGCCTTCCATTAAATAACAATCTATATCAGTGGAAATCTTTTTAAAAAATCATCTTTACGTGAGAGGTGCAACCCTCATGAAATTGAAGATGAATTTCACTTAATTTTTTGTTGATTGAATTTTGCCCATCAAAGGAAATTGTTTGTTTTGTTGGTTGTTTTTTTCCGTTGCCCATTTCTATGAGATTGACGCCATCTGATTAGTTGAAAAAAGTGCATATGATTGTGTCCAATAGTGTATTACATGCACACTTAGTATATCAATTAACTGTAATAGCGGATAGGGATTCCAGGATTATAGATGTAAGTCATTGATCTGAGAGAGGTGATGATTTTAGAATTAATAGTGGTAGTAAAGGAAATTGTTAATCCCCACCTTAAACACTTCGGCTACTTTTACTGCATTACACACAAATAAACTTACATATTTACTTACAACGACATGTATAGAGTTTCAAGGGAAACTGTGCACACTACACATTCCTGTCGTGGATTGACGCATCCCTGCCTCAGAGAGCCCTGAAATGCTGGACCCGCTGCAAGTTCCTGTGTGACCGTCCGGGCTGCAACGATTTAGAACAGAGGGTGGCTCTTGGGAGTACAGGTAACACAGCGCTCCTAGTGAGAACATGTGGTGACAATGAGGTCATGTAAATTCCCAAAATTAGAGGTGTTGAGTGCCCTATACACGCTCAATTTTGTATGATGGTTTGATCAAATATGTTTGACACACATTTTGGATAGGTTTTTGATCGTGTGTGGGCGTGTTTGATGGTCAAAATAATTTGATGTCAAATATTTGACGGATCAGTTTTCAGTTGATATTTTTTATCAAACCGTCCAACTATTTGAGTGTGTGTGGGCTTCATCAAATTGTTTTGTGCAAACATTCTTTTTTCAGTTGCTGCCGGATAGAAGAAATCTACTTTTCACTCATCATCATGGCACCACTAAAGGATGAAAAAATATTCTGGAGCTCATTGAAGTGTACCAGAGTTTGCCCGAACTATGGACAGTTAATAGTAAAGAATATGTGGCTGAGATTAAAAAGAAGCTGCCTATGACGCTCTGCTGCTGAAATACGGGGAGTGGTATGCAGGTACCACAAAAGAAAAATTTAAATAGAAAATTAACTCAACGCGGACGAGTTTTCGAAGGTAGTTGAGGAAATTGGATGATTCTCAAAAGTCTGGGGCCGGTGCAGATGATGTCTACGAGCCTTCATTGTGTTTTTGTTTTGTTTTTTGGTGCTCTTTTATTCCTGCGTTGTCAAGAAACACCGGCACGGTCACAGGGGGAAACCTAAATGTGAGGCAGCGTGGTGGAATCAGGTTCTCGTCAAAATAATCAAAGTGAAGAAACTTGCATTTTTGTTAATTTTTATCAAATTTTTGTGTTTTTTTCTCAACACCTTTCATGCCCATTAAAGAACACATTTCTGTGTGGATTTTTCTGAAAAGCGTTGATTAAAGGAACAAAATGTAAATTTTCAGTTACCGCGGACTCTTAAGCTAATTAAATAGCTTATCTTTGGCGGCCATTTTCTTACTAATCTTACCTCTGAAAACAGGTGATCCCCGTCTCCTTCTTTCGACTTGTATTCAAGATAATAGGATATTTATTTCATGCAAATAAAGACAGGTGAACAAGCTTTAAGATGATACGAATATCTCCACATGCCCCAAAATTGACGAGAGCCTGATTCCGCCACGCTGCCTCACATTTGGCCTACTTTCTTTTCCTTTTTGTTTTTCCTCGCAAGATCCAACGCTATTGGTCCGTCCATTACAAACTCTTGACACAAACTAATGTTTAACAAAAAGATTTGAACGTGTCGGGCAAACGTCAAACTGTCAAAAAGAAATTGATTAAAAAAATGTTTTGCTAAACAAATTTGAGAGTGTATGGGGCACTTTACACGAGCTGCATTGTGTTTCAAGTACTTGTAACTCAGCGCTCTTGGTGGGTAAATGTTATAACAATTAGGTCATAATAATATAAATGCTGAAGATTAGAGTAAGAGTTGCTATGTATTTCAAGTACAGATGAGTTAAAGTTGTAACACAATAAGGTCATGTAAATGCCGAAGATTAGAGTAAGAGTTGCTATGTGTTTCAAGTACAGATGAGTTAAAGTTGTAACACAATAAGGTCATGTAAATGCCGAAGATTAGAGTAAGAGTTGCTATGTGTTTCAAGTACAGATGAGTTAAAGTTGTAACACAATAAGGTCATGTAAATGCCGAAGATTAGAGTAAGAATTGCTATGTGTTTCAAGTACAGATGAGTTAAAGTTGTAACACAATAAGGTCATGTAAATGCCGACGTTTAGAGTAAGAGTTGCTATGTATTTCAAGTACAGATGAGTTAAAGTTGTAACACAATAAGGTCATGTAAATGCCGAAGATTAGAGTAAGAGTTGCTATGTGTTTCAAGTACAGATGAGTTAAAGTTGTAACACAATAAGGTCATGTAAATGCCGAAGATTAGAGTAAGAATTGCTATGTATTTCAAGTACAGATGAGTTAAAGTTGTAACACAATAAGGTCATGTAAATGCCGAAGATTAGAGTAAGAGTTGCTATGTGTTTCAAGTACAGATGAGTTAAAGTTGTAACATAATAAGGTCATGTAAATGCCGACGATCAGAGTAAGAGTTGCTATGTATTTCAAGTACAGATGAGTTAAAGTTGTAACACAATAAGCAGTGGCGTGGCTCTCCAAGCGCAAATGGCGCCATGGCGCCACCCTTTGAAATGGAGAAAGGATCTTCAAAACAGGGAATACGATGTTCCCAAACCTAACAAAATATCACATTATTGTTTTCGAACCAATCTCTTATTCCTAAGTACTCCAGTCTTTAGTTAAGGTATCTATAATTAGGCTAGTGGGAGGAGGGTGGGTAAGCCCAGGGTAAGCCTCCCGTTGCCGGTCGCAAGGGTCTCCCCGCGTCTTTCGTTCCCTACGTCTGACGTCACCGAGGGCGCCGAACCCAGATCGGCCTAACCTGAACCAGTGTCTCTGCCTGAACCCATCTGGGTGTTCATTGTTTAGGTGTAAAGTCTGGTCAAAATAATTCAAAATGATCTAAAAAGTATTTGATTCAATCAGTTGAAAACAGGGTTTTCTTTCCAAGAATAGCAAAAAAGTTTCTTTAATACCCCATCCAGACGTTTGGCGGAAGACAAAAGAGATATCACCAAGAATATAACTCAGCTAAAAATACTACAACAGGTACTCCCATCCCATCACACTAAGAGATTGTACTGTTGGGCCAAAGGGCCAAGATGGATTTGGCGCCTGTATGGTTGGGAGGGGATGGAGTGGTAGTTAGCCTGGACATGGCCACATGGCATGGTAGCGAGCTGTCTAAAAATAGGTTTTATTGTCTGCTTTCTAGAAACCAGAACTGCAAGGAATCAGGGAATGGGGTCATTATGTCAAGACGCCCCGAGGGCAATAGTGCATGCGAGTTCTTGACTGTGAATGAGTGGTTTTCTGTTGATCAGTTGGAAGTTATTGTTTTGTGTGTGTGATTAGATGTGATGTGATTATGCGCATCTTGAGCGCTGAACTCTCTCTCGATCTATATACAAGATTGTACCAGCACTTATCTGTTCTTCTCGCATATAATAAGTAGGCCTGTAATAAGTAGGCAATACTATTCGTTGTGATAAATTTGTTCATGGCGCCACCTTCTCTGGAAGTGACGCCACGCCCCTGACAATAAGGTCATGTAAATGTCGAAGATCTGAGGTGCTACAGAGTTTCAATATGATATAAGTAAAGGTAACACAACGGTGTTGATGAGCAAGTGTTGTAACAATTAGATCATGTAAATGTCGAAGATTAAAGGTGTTACTACAAGAGAGCAACAGACACAAAAGAGAAGGAGAGAAAGGACAAAAGGTGTAAAATAAGGAAGAAGGAGAAAACACACCGGAAAAAACACTGAGCACCCGCCAACCACTCATATTGTTTAGGTTTAACGCCCCTTGAAACACTGTAAAGGTTATTTAAGAGACAGGACCTCAAACTTTGACTTTTATCTGTGAAACGACTGGGTCAAATGTGACAATTCGTATATAGTGCCTTTTATAAAGACAAATTCTCTTCCTCTATCCCCTCTCTACCCTCTCTCCGCCTCCTCTCTCCCCTCCTCTCTCCCCTCCTCTCTCCCCTCCTCTCTCCCTCTCCTGTCTCACTCTCTCCCTTCCCTCCCTCCATCCCCTCTCTCCTCTCCCCCTCTGTGGGTGGTTGGCGGGTGCTCTGGTGTGGTTTGCTTCTTCTTTCCTATCAAACGTCTATCGTCCTGATCTCTCCTCCTCCTTCTATTTTGTGTTTGTTACTCTCTTGTAACACCTCTAATCTTCGGCACTTACATGACCTTATTGTGTTGCAGGTGCCTAAAACTCTTACTAAAACTAAAAACTAAACATCTCCCCCTCTCTTT